CTGACACGGCCACCTGACACGGGCATAGTGCCCGTGTCACTGCCCGTGTCAGCTCTGCGCGACTTATTTTCAACTCCGATTTTCTCCGTTTTGCTCTCCGAGTTCATCATATCTTCCAACTTGATCACATCACCTGAATCAATAAAGTTAGTATGCATATTATTATCATGAAGTATAGGCTTATGTATTGAAAACAACTACGCAAAGTAAGTTCTCCCTTTTTGACGTCAATCAACGCATCTCCCGTTGCTAAAAATGGACGCCCTAGAATCAATGGCACGTCACTATCTTCCTCCATGTCCAGTACAACAAAATCAACAGGAAAAGTGAAGTTATCAATCTTGACATGCACATCCTCAACAATCCCCTTCGGACACGTTATCGAACGATCCGCCAATTTCAAAGTCATTGTAGATGGCTTCACTTCTCCCAATCCGAGCTTCCTGAAAATTGACAAAGGCATGAGATTAATACTAGCACCAAGATCACATAAAGCTTTGCTAAAGAACATATTCCCAATAGTGCAAGGAATCGTAAAGCTCCCGGGGTCCTTAAGCTTCGGAGGAATCGTGCGTTGGAGGATCGCACTACTCTCTTCCGTTAAGGTCACCGTCTCATGTTCCTCAATCTCCCTCTTCTTCGCAAATCGTTGAGGAAAAGGTAAAGGGATAGAAAGTTTAGGAGAGCCAAAGTTAGAATTAAATGTAATCCCAGGCCTTGAAGTTGCTATCACACTTGGTTCCTTCATTAACTCATCACAAACTTTCTCCTCTTTACTTCGTAGATAGATGGCATGACATTGCTCTTTTGGGTTCAACTCGGTATTGCTAGGAAATTGACCCCTTTGGTGCTGGCTTCCCACGGCCTTGGCCAGTTGACCAATTTGCATCTCCAAATTTTTCATTTGAGCCTCCATTGTCGTAGCCAATTGTGTCACATGATTCTCAATCTTGTCCAACTTCTCTTCATCTCTGTTGAAACGATTTCTCGTCTCATTCATGAAAGCTACCAGAATATTTTCCATGTCCATCTTCTTCTCTTCGACAATCTCGCCATTCACCACCTTAAACCCCGGCGGTGGTTGGAGCACATTCTTTGTATTTCCATAGGAAAAATTTTCATGATTCCTATTATTCGGGTGATAAAAACCCGGCACCGGATTAAGGCGAGAGTTGCTGAAGTTCCGAGTATTGACAAATTTAGCCTCTCCTAAAGGATCCGGTGGTAACACGTTGCCTTGTACTCCATTCATCTCATTAGCTCCTTTTCCCAAAGCATTCAATTTTGTCGTCAACGACGACATCTGAACCGCTAACTCCTTAATTGGATCAGAAGATGTCACCTCCGCCACACGTCTAATGCTCGACCTCTCGGAAGGCCACTGATAACTATTCATGGCCATCTCTTCCAATAAGTTGGACGCTTCCTCCGGTGTTCTAGCCAATAGAGCTCCTCCAGCAGCCGCATCTACAAAGGCTCTCGTTTGGCCCAACAACCCGTTATAGAAGAAACAAAGTTGTTGATCCTCCGGAAAACCATGTTGAGGGCATTTCCTCAACAATTCCCTAAATCGATCCCACGCCTCGTATAAAGGCTCCGAGTCTTGCTGTCTGAACTGTGTAATCTCGCTTTTGAGTTGCATCGACTTGCTTGGAGGGAAATATTTAAGTAGGAACTTCTGGTTCAACTCCTCCCAAGTAGTAATGCTCCCATCAGATATCATTGACAACCAACTCCGAGCTTTATCCCTTAGAGAAAAAGGGAATAGACGCAGCCGTATGGCATCCTCAGAGACACCATTGTACTTGACCAAATCACAGATTTGCAAAAACTGGGTCAAGTGTTGATTCGGATCCTCGGTCGGGTGTCCACCAAATTGGTTGTTTTGCACCATCGAGATATAGCAGGGCTTCAGTTCGAAATTATTCGCGCTGACGGGTATATGCGCAATCCCGCCAAAATTCTTATTAAATTGAGGCCGAAAGTGGTCACGAATCGCTTGTCTCGGTTGTTCTTGCTCTTGCTCGTCCATTGTGCACTCTGAATTGCCCCTTCTTTTTCTAATTGTTGCACTATTGCGTCTAGCGAATGCTTCAACTTCGTCAATCAGGGGTGGTAGTTGTACACCTTTAGAACGAGTTAACATGCACTTCCTGAAATCACGAAAACGAGAGATTATGTCACCAAAAATAAAAAAAAATATCTAAATTAAAATTTTCACTATCTATCGTAATATTGATATAAATAATTATATTAGTCCCCGGCAACGGCGCCAAAAACTTGTTCGCCTATATTTTTAAAGCTCGACCGCAAGTGTACGGCTTCGCTCGTAGTATGTGGCAAGCAAGGTCGTATCCCAAGAGACCAAATAATTATTATACCAATTACTAGATTATGATAGTGTTGATTTTATTTAGACGACCGAATATGAGATGGATTAACTAAACTAAGAAAATATAATCAAAGGAAATAAAGCAAGAATAAGAAAACAACTAGAAAAACACTTAAGAAGAATATATGGGAATGGTAGATTCTAAGACTATGGGTTCAATTAACAGTTGGGTTCCTTCAAATTTATCACAACTAACTATTTTCTTTATCTACCCTATAAGATGATCGCAATTTTAGCCTATCGTCCCTCTCGAGATCGATAAAACCGTAGATTAAATCACATATATTAGCGTCTCCACTCAACACATGCAATTCAACTCCAATTAGAACAAAAGATCTAATATCCTCACAACGACCTACTAATCTCTCGATTCAAGCAAGTAAATTGTGTCAAATATTAAAGACCTAATATTGAACTCATCTCTCGAATTATGAACAATATTGTCAAACATGTAAAAGAATTGATCAAGTTCTAAACATGAAATAAGAACAAAATATTTGAATAGGGTTCAAAAGAAAACAATCAACTATGATAAATCATCCAAAATCCCAACATATTAATCTACTACCATGTCTTAGAATCAATGAAATTTAGCTACTCATGTTTGAAATCAAATACATAGACATATTAGAAATCAACATGATCAATAAAAGTTCAAAAGAAAGAAGAAAAAAAAAAACTAGGAATCTCGTCGATCTTTCAATCTCCTTGATCCCTTTGTGGTTGATCTCCTTTTGCCTTCCAATTGCTCCTCTTGTGTGTTTCCAAGCCTCTCTAACGTGTTCTCCCACTTTTTGGCCTCTCAAACTAGGTTAAATATGCTTTCTTTTGTGTCCAAAAACCTTCTCCTCATCAAAATAGGTAAGTAATAAAAATCTGTTCCAGCGCGCGACACGGCCACACGGCCCGTGTCACCGTCCGTGTCGCAGGTCGTGTCAAGTTCAAGCCCTCGGAATGTCCCTGTTCACGTGACACGGCCACCTGACACGGGCATGGTGCCCGTGTCACCGTCCGTGTCACATCCCAGCACTCTCGTTTTTGTCCGTTTCACTCGTTTCTTCTATATTTCTCATCCGTGCATCAATCCATCATCATCTCGGGGGTCCTAGGTACTCACCATGCGCCTCCAATAGCCACAAGCTCTACAAATATGTGAAAATATCTACAAAACAAGCACGTGTAATACCTTTCCAATAAATAGAGAATTAAAGCACAAATATGCGATTTGTACACTACTAATGCAATGACTAAGCTCTAAATACTCAATAGATATGGTGTAAAATCACACATGAACATAACACTACTAGACGAGGCCGATAGAACCTCCCCCACCGCCTAACACCATTAGTCAAACGGGGGATTGTGCAAGAGAAAACCGGCCCTCACCCCGACTGCCGCAACAGGAATGCCGCAGAAATCGGAGCCACGCCCCGTCCGAAGACATACACTCCACCCAACACCGCCACAGAGTATCGGCGACCAGAGTCCCGGGTCCCACCAAAGCGGCGAAGCCCTGCCGAAAAAGGCAGAATTCTAGAATCGCAGACAAAGGGAAGATGGAGGGGTATACTGTCGCAAATCGGAGAACTACCGGCGACTGAGGGGAAGACATCACTCGCAGGCCAGACGGCGACCTTGAAGGACACCACCGTCGACCGGAACCTCGTCGGGAACCTAGAACCATACTGCCGATCGCGGACCTTCCACAGCAACATCGAAGGCGTGCGTCTTCAGGGGAGGGCTGAGCGGTTATTGACGACCCCTAGCCGGGGCATCGCCGTCGACGAGGAAGACAATCGAACCGGAATTGAAGAGAGACGGAGAGAGATATTTGGGAACTCCATGCATTTATAGGCTAAATTATAAGCTAAAGAGATAGCAACCATGCAATTTGACTTCTCATATTCATAGCACATGACCTAAAATAAAATTCAAACAAACATAAAGTCGTATATAGTCACAACACTATTTAAATATTAATGATCATAACTCTTTTTAAAGTCATATATAGTCACAACACTATTTAAATTTTAATGATCATAACTTTTTTTTGGACAATGAGTGATATAGCATAAGGAGCTTGGTCCTAAAAAGCTCATTTATAAACCGGAGATCTATTAGCTTGACTTAGCGAAGATAGGTCGGGTTGGTTCACATAAGCTCCTAGACATTGGAGGTCGAGTGGACAACTTTGGTTAAAGCAACTTGGGTCCTTGATTAGAGAGTTGGTGCGTGATCACCTAATCTAGCTCGAGATGACGAGCTAGAAAGTTGACAAAGATGTGGAGTACAAGATACCAATTATATATATGGTTGTAAGGATCCTAATGATTTGTGAATATGAAAAGAGATCTAGCTAATGTATGTGAATATCTAGTTTCCCTAAAGGAATATAACTTTTGTACGACAAAATAACCATCTTATAAGGATGCATGTATGATTTTACTATTACGTTCTAATTTACGCAATACCATTCACAAATTATACGAAATATCAAAGGGAGTGATTTGATCGTCGGAAGGTCTACATCACGAACCCTCTTAAGAATTTTTCAAGTACTCAAATAAGAAGGTCGAGTGAGATTTGGACATCCATACATAACTAGTCACTTAAACTGAGTTTATTTGGTACTAATTTCTTAATTAACAACTATTACATGGTATTGGATATCTGTTGGGGTTTCGCCCAATTGCAATGAGCCAATTACAGACGCCTTGATTGTTGTATACGATGGTGGGCGGTTTGTACGGCGACCTACCCCCTCCGTCCTCCGCCGCGGAAGACGGCGGCGCTACCACATCCACCACTAATGTCTGGTCCAGCAGCGTTAAGATGGTCCCTCCCACCCTCCGCAAACCCCTCCCCCCTCAGACCATTCTCCGGCCCCAACACCCCAAGCACAAACAATCTCAGCCTAAGCTCACCACTACCTCTCACCCAAACGCCGACGAGAACACAAACCCTAACCCCAGCTCGGCATCCTTTCAACCCGCTCTTGTCGGGGTGACCAGCTCCGTCGTCGACGAGTACGATCCAGCCCGGCCAAACGACTACGAGGATTACCGCCGGGAGCGGAAGCGGATGCAAGCGGAGGCCGAGGTGAGGCGGGAGCTGGAGGAGAGAGAGAGGAGGGAGAGGGAGAGAGAGGAGAGAGAGAAGCGTGAGAGAGATCGCGATAGGGATCGGGAATTGAATATCTCCGGTGAAGAGGCGTGGCGGAGGAGGGCGGCTATGAGCGGCGGCGGAGGAGGTGGCGCGCCGAGGTCACCGTCGCCACCCCCGCCTGGAAATGGTGTAGGAGATGGGTTCAGCATCGGCAAATCGGAGAGCAGGGGATTGGGAGGGGGAGCTGAAGGGAAGATGACGGCAGCACAGAAGATGATGGCTAAGATGGGTTGGAAGCAAGGACAAGGTTTGGGGAAGCAGGAGCAGGGAATCACGTCACCTCTTGTGGCCAAGAAGACGGATAAGAGAGGTGGGGTTATTGTGAATACCAGCGAGTCGAGCAAGAAGGTCAAGAGTGTTAGTTTCAATGGAATTCCCACCCGAGTTGTGCTTCTAAGAAACATGGTATGGATTTCTTGTTTTCAGGATAAAGTCCGCTCAACTGGTTATGAATATGGCATTCTCTTTAAATAGCTTATTATTGAGCTCTAGTGTTGTGGTGTTTTGTGGTTTGAGTTTGATTATGTCATTTAAGTAAAAGTTCAGACCGATTTCTGTGGAGTTGAGTTGAACACTGGTAGATATGAATTTGTAGTTTTGCTATCGTTGAGTTAACTGAAGCTCGGCCAAATTCGTGGTACCAGATATATTTGTTGTCCTTCGTGATGAAGTTCGGGATTTAAATTGTTTGCATATCATTTTATAACAAGGTGAAACCATATTTTAAAGTTGAAGATGCTGTCTCATGTGGTGCCTATGCAATTTCTTATTTTATATTGTTAGGTTAATTGGTTAATCAGTCTTATTTGTTCGTCTTCAATTGTTAAAACTATTCAGCTCCAGATAGGTGTCGAGTGACTTGCTCTGCCTTCACAGTCTGCAGCTTTGCATTCTTCTTAACTCTTACTTTATAAATACAATTAGGAAATGTCAACTCGGAGTTCCATGAGCTAGACGATTTATGTAATACAAAACTATACATCTGTGGCAGAGCTTTATGTTAGTTGTTAGTGTACCAATAAACGAAAATATGCAGACAAGAAATTCAATATCGTTTTTACATGTAACCCTTAGAACAACTTGTTGGATTATGTTTCTGTCAATCTAGAGTAAGAAAACTGAAAATGTAGTCTCGAATCTTTTAACCCCTGATTGGTATAACCTGCTTTGGACTTGTGCAAAAAACAAATTCAGAGGATATAGAATATTTTGCCATATGCTTTAATACATGGTGTGGTTCTTTCTCCCTATCTTTCCTATCCTATGCAGATGTCCTATCCACAAGGGGCTATCCTAGCTTGATAATATCAAGTTTCAAGTTATTTGGTTTATTAATATTGCTAGTGAGCACACTGTTCTTTATTTTTTTTAGCTTCTATCCTTCAATAACCATTTGATTATACAAGTGTGTCTGGGAGCAACAAATATGATCCAAAGTGCTATTTCTGGAGTATTTCGAAGTTTATCACTTGTTTACCTGTATCACACATGTTCCTAACTAATAAAACACATAAGATAGATACATAACTCTTTCCTTCTATGTTTTGTTTCTTTCTCGTGACTTATATTCTCCTACCGTGATTGGTCAATTGTTTTCTGTTTTATCCAGCCCCTGAGCTACAATTGGTTTGATTCATTTTCAGCATTTTCTATTCTTATTACTGTTAGTAATGATTTCTGATGTATGTAACATGTGTGCCTTTCTGAAGGTCGGCCCGGGTGAGGTAGATGATGATCTGGAAGGTGAGGTGGCAGAGGAGTGTGCTAAATTTGGTACAGTGACCCGTGTCTTAATATTTGAGATTACAGAACCAAACTTCCCGCACGAAGAAGCTGTAAGAATATTCATTCAGTTCGAGAGAGCAGAACAAGCAACTAAAGCTTTGATAGAACTCGAAGGCCGTTTTTTTGGAGGAAGGATTGTACGTGCTTGTTTCTATGACGAGGAGAGGTTCGGCAAAAACGAGATGGCTCCTCTCCCTGGGGAAATCCCTGGCTTCTTTTGAACACTTCTTTTATCAGGTAACTTTGAAGATTTTAAGTTATCGTCTTTAATCTCCTTGCAGTAGTCTGAAGTTGTGAGTAGTGTTATTATTTTTAGCTCCGAGTGTTATTTGGTGAAATTCAGATTGGAGAATTAAAAGGTATACCCTGGAACATAACTATGTTGATCTAATCAGATTTGAGAACTAAAAGTTGAAGTTGATGTAACCCGGAACAAACGATGTTGATCTAATGTGGTTTCGGTTGTGTTCTGTGAATTCATAGGATATTTTGGGAACTTTTGATTGCTTCAATAAGAAATTCCGTGCACCCAATGTTTGGTAAGGTGCAGGTAGGCCTGAAAACGAGCCAAGCCGAGCTCGTTAAATAAATGAGTCGGAAATCGAGTTTACGCTCGACTTGTTAATAGTCGAATTCGAGCGTTAACGAGCCGAACTATATAAAATTATATAAAAATTATCTTTTCGAGTCTTAACGATCGAGTCGAGCCGACTCAGCTCGTTAACCGAACGAGCTTTAAATGAGCTCGAGCTCGCCTCGTTAAGCCCTCGAGCTCGAGCCGAACTCGAGCCTTAACGAGCCAAGTCAAACTCGTTATATTTAACAACACTAGGTGCAAGCCTCATGTTTATGCAGTTATACATTTTTGACAAATGTGCAATTTTCATACATAATCGACATATTTTAAAGATAACATAAATAAAAATATGACATTTCATCGAGCATAGGAATGCAATTTTAAAAACAACATATATATAAAAATATGACATCTCAGTATAGAGTAGAGGAATGCAATTTTTAAAAATAACATAAATAAAAATAAGACATGTCTCTCTATAGAGTATAGTATAGACTATAGGAATGCAATGTTTAAAAACATAAATAAAAATATGACATTTCTCAGTATAATAGGAATGCTATTTCTAAAAAATAATATAAATAAAAATATGACATTTCTCTCTATAGTAATGCAATTTTATTAAAAATGTATGATGTATCTATCCGTTGCTGAACCGTTAAATTGTCTCGCCCAACACATTAAGTGTTGTACAAAGAAATTATATTAGAATTTGGATCGTCTCAAGCGTATATCCCGTGCGATGCACGGAGAAACTCATATTTTAAACATTTTTTAGACTTTATTTTAAATATAATTCTTTATATTTTTCACATCACATCTCATTATGAAAATAAAATAAATACAAAAAATGAAGAACATATATTATTAATCACTTCTGTTTATACAAATTTGTTTAGGATCTTTTTCTTTAAATGTTTGAATTTAAAAAGTTAATACAAAATTTAGATTATATCACATAAGGAAAAAATAAATAATTGACGTTTATTAATATATTAAAGTATGTAATTTTGAATTCATATAAAGTAAAAGGTATGATAATTCAAATTGATTTTTAAAATTTTATAAAATAAGTAATATTTTGGTTATTATATCCGTAAGAATAATTGTATAATTAATTAAATAAAATATTATATTAATTATATCTTGAAATACCTGATTACAATAACTTGGATAAAAAAATATTATATTAATTAGTAAGTGGGCCTTAAATTGGTGTTCCATTAAAATATAATTATATTACACTATTTTATAATTTATAATTAATTTATTATAGCTTAATTTGTTATTGATTTGTGATAACTAATATATAATATTAAGTACATTTGAATTTAGGTGTCCATAATAAATATAGAATGCTATATTTTTTGTCATATATATTTTTTTTAGTTATAAATATACAATTTTTAAATAAAGTAATAATATTTGAACGTAAGTTTTAATTGATCTATTTATAAAGTTCATCCTATTTAGTAATATATAATTTTAGATATGCGTGGGGCAGAGGAGATTAAAGATTTACCTAAAAATTGATTTGTATAATAATTAAATTTATCAATCAAACAAAAAATATATTCTTCCTTAATTTTAATTTTAATTTTTTAATTTATACTGTTATAATCATTTAATATGATATTTTATATAGAAATAATTGTTACTACATATTTAACTATAGACATGAATATTCAAATAAACATGCATTTACAAATATTCAATATTATTTTATATATATTTATTATATTATAATTAATTATATTCTTTATCACATCATTTAATAATGAAATTATTATTTTTTATACTATCTGTCAGTTACCAACTAAAAAAAACATTAATAANCCAAATTTATTTCTAATAAAGGGATAACTCAATTTTTTTTTGAAAAGTTTATAAAGATAAAATGGAATGTACCCAAAAAATCTGCTTTTAATCTTTCCTTTAAATGTTTGAATTTATTTTTTTTCAAAATTAATTCAAAAAAATTGAATAAGAATCATGGACGGGAGAATCCAAAAAATTTCAAAAAACATTTCCATTATTAATAAAAAATGAAAATTTGAGCTGGAAATCGTAATGCTATTTTTGCATTTTTTTTTTTTTTCTTATTGCTATTATATAGTAACAGACTTCATTAATTCCTTGATAGTTATGCTGATCTCTGTCTACTAAACATCAATACAATGTTGAGAATGCAAAAAGTTTAGACCCTTGATTAAGAAGAGCCACAATAATAGGCAGTCTATTAATTGATCGTGGAATTTTAACTTGCAATTCGACGCGGTTTGACAATTTAAATATCGGCCGTGTTCAATTCCAATGCACCGCCACCGTTTGGTGGCGCACCTCCGCACATATACATTGCCACGAGCCCCTCGTTCGAGGCCATGGTGCTCCCCGCCGGAATCTCGCCGGAGGAAATGTTGTCGACGGCGGAGTCACGGTGGGGCGACGCGGTGGTTGAGCAGTCTCCGCCGCCGAGGTAGCTGCTGCTGGGCGTAGGCAGAGCACTCTTTCTCTCCACGCCGCACATCGGGCAAGCAATATTGCTCCCCTATACGTGAAATAAATCACAGGAAATTAGAAATAGAATAAGACCCATCATGTACATAGGCAAATTCAACTCCTGTCTTCACATGTTTTTTTACCCTTGATTTCACACATTCCCACATAGGTGTATGTGGGTGTGTGTGAAATCAAAGGTAAAAAAGCATGTGGGGCACTGCCCCATATACATATCTGAATAAAGCTACCTCCACATAATTACCAGATGATATAAAGGATGACGTGGAAGTTATTTTGATGATCTGATAATTTCTTTTGCATGTTTTATCTCAAAATTCAATTCAATTTTAATTCAATCAGACTCTCATTAATTATCAATGTAATTAAATAATATCAATATATCAATATACGATTTTTTATATGGTTGCTTTAATCACCTATCATTTTCAATAATCTTTCTTTTACATAACATCAACATCAGGAAAATTAATTATTATTTAAATACAAATTAAAAATCTCACTCAAATCTCCACTCAATCAGCTTTATCCAATAAATTTTATACTCAAATGGATGTGTGAAGTAATAAAATCATATAACTCTACGTATTATCTCAAAGTTTATATCATTCTTCCTTTATGTTACTGCAACATGATTCTATATATATAAATTTACGCGAAAATATATAAATTTGTTTCGGCGTACGTTAGAAAAGGTGGGGGAGCGGAAAGTGGTGCCGTCAGGTTCGATTATCCAACCGGCTTCCTGGGCGAGGTGGCGGAGGACTTCATTAATATCTGCGCGTGGGGAGAGTCGGTAGCCGCCGTGCTTGCGGAGGCCGTGGAAGATATTGGTGGTGATGGACCGTCGTTGCCTCTCTCTCATCTTCGTTTTTTCTCTCTCTAAAGCGCTCCTCACGGTCACCGAGCCGCTTTCTTTACCGTGCTCTTTCATTGTAAAGGATTTGCTAGCTTTCTCAGGTTGAATAATAATCTGGCGTTTTTAGGGTTGCCTGAGATTTATATGGAGGAGGTGTATAGTCTATTGGCATGAAAGGGGACTTTTGAGTGAGGAGTTAAGACAGTCAAATTGCATGGTACTGAATGGGTTGGCTGTGCAGGCAAGTTCACAATTAGCACGTGTTTTTTTGTCATGACTCAGTGTTAGTAAAGTTAGAGCTTGTAGTTTATGCAAACTTAAGATTAGGGGTAGATTAATAATGCATTAATTCGTCGTCTTGTTTATATGAGAAAAAAGTGTTTTTTGTCACCACTCAATTTGTAAGTAAGAGCATATAGAAATATTTCTCAGTGTGGAGGGCTTTTTGGTTGGGCTGGAAATCAATTGTTTTGAAAATTGAGGATGAAAGGTTGGTTAATGATCTGGGAACCTAAAAAAGACTCGTAGGGCAAGATATCAGTATTCTAAGGGCACATTTGTTTAACAAAAATAGGATTAGATAATTTTGATCTATATATGTCTAAGATTAGATTGTAGAGATAGGACTACACTTACGTTTGTTATCTTTGATTTACTCAAGATAAAATTATCTTCTTATTTTGTTTATGTGTTTGTTTCCTTGGACAAACAATAGGATTAGATGTACATTTACCAATTTAACCCACATATTAAACTTCTTTTTTTTTTCCCACTTCTCAATGGTGATTTGAATATATTGAGCTGGGTTTTTCTGCATGCATTCTCTTTTATTCATCGCAGCTAATATAACACTGTTTTTTTGTTTTTGTTTTTTTGGAGAAAATCTTGTAGGGAACTTCCAACAAAACTATGTAAAATACAGTGAGTTTAAATGAATTGAAATCGATCACCAAAATTGCAAATTCCACTCACATCATGCCCAACACCAAATAATCCTCTCATCAGGCCATTTGTCTTTTTCCTCACGCACCCGAGACGAAAATTCACCAAATTTCATTCTTTCTTTTTCTTTTTTTCTTTTGCCTTGTTCTGCACACCCACACTGCCACACACTTAAATCACAAACCAAGTTTCTCTAACTCACAAATCAATTCGCCTTCCCATTTTTAATTTTTGCACAGCACACCAAATTCCATTAGATTTTGTTTCATGTTGCTTTCTTCTTTTCCTGTGCAAGGCGGCCAGAAATATATCCTAGTTGTAGTTAGATTTTCGATTGAAGGTGGTCGAGCGGCTACCAGGGAAGGAGGGTCATTCGGACATGGATGGCGACTCACAAATCTGTGAATCATAAACCAACGATGAACAGCGACCATATCTCGAAGAAAACAATCTTTTGGTTACAACAAGGGAACGGAACGACACTCCATCTTCCTACTTTCAAATCTTGCACAAGAGTGTGAATGATTTTCGTGAGTGTTAGGCGAGTGGCATAAGATGTAATTTGCACATTGACCAAGGTTAATATGGTCAAAATTATTTACTTTTAGGGACACTTTGGTAACTCCTGACACTTAATACTGTAAAGACAACAATTATCTCACCTATAAGGCAAGATCAAATAATCTCGGTTTCCCATGACAAAAACACTCTATATCGCGAGCTTCAAGTTATCTTGCATGCCAGAATGTAGGAAACAAATGCCGGATAAATAGTAGATTAATGTTGCAATCTTGTCATGTCCTGGCGCCAAAATGTAGGAAACAAATGCCGGATAAATGGTAGATTAATGTTGCAATCTTGTCATGTCCTGGCTAACAAACGAGAGTGTTTCTTTGGGAAACTCAGAAAGACTCAGATGGCAAGAACTCAAATTACTTCAAATATTTATAGCCTTATCAGTCTTTTTGGGAGTCTTTCTTTTGAATTTTGATCCTCAGTCCATGTTTGATAGTTGTACACTCTTAGCCCATGAAGCTGTTGTTACTTCCACTTGTAGTCATGATTGACATTGTAATTTTCTTGTTTGGCTGTAATTTTGATAGTCGAAGCACTTTTAAGATAAATACATCTATTGTGTAGAAAAAGAAAAATAAAAAGAGTGAGAGAATAAGATAAATAAAGATAAGTGAATGACATGGTAAATAGCTCTCTTTGATGCATTCTCCAATATCGAAATTGCAATCTGAAAAAGAAAAAAAAAAATACACAACTACTAGCTACACGACTACATCACTTGCTGCAGAAAAAAAAAATCAAAAAAACAATTTAGGGGACCAACAACTTAAGTCATGACCCAGAAACTCATTCAACTAAGGCCTTAACAGTAACACAATATACATAACTCAAGCTTCCATGTGAGTAGTAGATCTGCCACTCATATATAATTGTGTCCTTCAAACATGGCCACCAGACTTCTATTTGCTATCAAATGTAATGAGTCATGTTAGAAGAAAGAGAAAAAAAAAAAAGGTGAAAAGGAAGATGTGTCTCTAATGAATTGCATGTATCTAACAATTTCAGTTAAGGAGATGAATGAACCGGCATAGAATAAGGAAATTAATGAATTTCATGATTGAACTGAACCGACATAGAACAAGAAAATGAATAAATTGAAGAAGGTTAATTTAGGCAAACTATTAATAGATAAGTTAAGAAAATGAATAAATTGAAGAAGGTAAATTTAGGCAAACTATTAATAGATAAGTTGGTTTTTTGCCCATCACTACCAATCACCTATCCTAGACCGGTGATTCAAATTGCAAAAATTAAGAAGTCATCACCTACATTGTCAAATCTTTGAAACCATTGATGCAAAATGAGCATCTATAGTCATAAATCAGAGCTATATGAAGCCCAACTAAACAAATTATTAATCAAATTGTTATAATAGATAAAATTTATGCATCAATATAAAATTTTAAAATACATTAAATATCTATTAGATGAAATAGCTTTTTCATACTTAAAAATATTATTTTAATTTATAAAAATAATGCAATAAAAATTTTACATGCTGAACCACAAAGTTTTAAACAGACAACCAAACTGAAACACATTCTTAAATACAGAACAAACAAAGTGTATACACAATTACAAATAATAATGTCAGAGAGAACTTGCAAATTTCTATGTGAAAATTAAAATAGGGCCTCAGATAGTCGATCTAACATCAAATATATGTTCAGTCGGTAATTCCAACAAACAAATCAATCCTCACAGGCATCTAAACTAAAGACAATAATGAAGTAACTTTTGAGGAAAAAAAAATTGTAATCGCACAAAACGGCTCCGTGGATGAACAGAATAACAATCAGTCCACAGGTTCCTATCAAAATGCGAAACACGACTCGATTTAGGTCCAATCATGGACACCGCCGGTCATTACCGGAAGGCTACCGGCGACGTGGCATTGAACCGCACAAAAGTCATCAAATGTCAACTAAATCAGCAGAATTCTTAAGAAGCAAATAATTTTCAGAGAAAAGAAAATTGAAAGTTGAATCGAAACCTCAGAGACCCGTTCAAAATCACACACGCAGCTCGCCGAAAGCTACACGATCCCGACCGACGGCAAGGTTTTGCCACAGAGACAAAATCATGGCGCCGGTGGATGGGAAAGGTGGAGATGACGACGAAAAACGCTGCGTTTAGAGTGTCATACGGCACTTCCTATACTTTGGGAATTCTTCCTCATCGGCGTTTTCTAAAGACCTCCAATCACAAAAAAATAAAGAACACTAACGAAATGATTCACGGCGGCTAGCGGCGTATATAAGCGGCGGAGGAATGATAGATCCGCCGGTCAGTGGTCGGGGAAAAAAAGTAGATCCGCGANGTTTTTTTTTTTTTTTTTTTTGTACATTTATAAAATGTATATTTTAACTTTCACTTGGACTAGAGAACTAAGAGCATGTTTATCAAGCAACATAAAGTAGTTTACATGCAACTTAGATGAGTTATAAGTTTTATGCACTTGTGTTTGTAAAATGAACATCAAATGAACATTTTTTTTGGTAGAAAGGAACATTTTTTTAAATTTCGAGCTCATTTCAAATGTTTATAGAGGTAACGTTTAAAAATATCTTACTAATTTTTTTATCCAACTAACTTATCAATTAATATTAACACATTTAATATATACCTAAAAAATAACTAATAAACTATCAGAATCAGACTAACTTATCATCTAGGTCTTCAATTAGATCAACCAAACGTACATTTCGACAAACTTATTAAAATCATGCTGGCCAACCGGAGAATTCACCATTTCCATTACTACAATCTCACGGTAAATTATTGGTCAAGTAAAACTGCTAATTACACATTTACACTGAACTGTGGAAAGGAATTACAACAAATAAAAGGATACCTCATTTGGGACCAACAAAAAGAAGGAACTCACAACAGCCATATTTGGTGCCTTAATATATCACCAAGAAAGACATTTTAATCCAAATAGTGATTCATACAATAACAGTAAAGAAAAAAAAAAGAAATAACAATTATACAACTATTCACCCCTGCTGTGATAATAAGTAGTTTTTTCAACGGTGTTAAACAGCCATATTACTATTGGGCAAAGTGCAACAAATCACCTAGGCAACTCGAGGTCTGGTCGCTGATCAAAGGCCTCGATCATTGAATTATCAGGAAAAGCATCTGGATAGGTTGCCATGATTTTCCCTTTTAGGGTCCTGTGTAAATGAAATTCCCAAAATCATGCAAATTGATTTAACTTTTCGTTTTTTTTTTCCTTCAAATGCAATAAGATGTAATACAAACAAGGCGAAAAGATGAATTTCATAACTAATGCAATAAACACGAATTCTGCAAAACTGAAGAGAAAAGTTGTTTAGTGCCATGGTTCACTGAGTATGCTTTTCCTTTTATAATTTCTTCAACTGAATTCCGTCTAATAGGATCATATACAACTCGAGATTTTACACACGCACTCAAATCAAGAAAGATACCACATAACCACTCCTAAAGATGCAACATAATCACTCAAATCAAAATGGATTAGAATTGTTAAACACCAAAATATCTACACCTACAAGAAAGAATTTTAAATAAAGTCTCATCCCATCCCACGTAGCAAGACATATAGGGCTCGTTCACTTTCTTGCACAGGAAAGGACAATTTAGTTGCTTTTGTAGGATTGACATTGTACACTTATATAGGATATCAAGTAAACATCTCAAATGCCCACGACAAAGTACTATATGGTTGCATCTTTTAATGATAAAACTATGTAAATCTTCCCCATTTGATGGGCTTATCAACATATTATCCGACAGTTTAACAGTGCAAATAAATGAAGGAAATATAGTGATATCCACCCAAACATATCCTAAACACAAGTAGTAAGCCCATAAAGTATAAACTCAAGTTTACAACACAATACATTAATGATTTAATTCCAAAACAATATATACAACAAAGGTATCAAACAACAAAAAAGTACATAAAAATTGGAGAAATTTTTCCATACCTAAGCTTCAGAAAGATGTAATCCAGGTCAGATTTCATGGACTTCAAGAGGCGCGTGTGATTGGAAAAATCCGGAGACACCTCTGCAAAGCAATTTTCTGAATACTCGTTGAAATGGGATAATACTGCATTGCTATCTTGCAATCTACCCAATCTGAACCATAATTTTCCTAAAAATCACTAATTTTGGCAGCTAAATTGCCGGATAAAAAGGCAGAAATCCGAAATTCTGCACGGAATTGAGAGACTAAAGTTGCGAAAAAAGATGTACATAAATAAATAGATTTTGTGCGTGCGTGCGTGCGTGTGATTGTAGGCTTACATGAGGTTCTGTGATTGGCGGAGAGACTCCAAATCCTTGGAATCAACTAAGGTTTTGAATTCTCTTGAAAGTTCTTCAGCTGCCGATCTTATCGATTCGCTTTTGGAATCCGCCATTTTCACGATTGCTGTTCTGAGTCTTCTACTTCTGAGCTGTGCCTGCGTTCATGGCTAATGTTGGACTTTTAGTTTGGGTTGATTTAATTTAAAGTTGGGCCTTATAAGAATCGGACTGGCTGATTTAATTTAAAATTGGGCCTTAAAGTCGAGGCTCCTACTGGCGAAGCTAGTCGAGTCAATTTCTCCCTCCAGGCTTGAAGACGTCTGGAGCTCAAATTTGGGCTAACACTTGTGTCCTCGCCATATCGGACTAGGCACTTGAGTAAGTTCGCAATTTTTGGTTCTAGATCTCAATTTGCAGCTTTTTTGTTTTTTGTTTTTGTTTTGTTTTTTTTAATTGTGATGGAGATTGACTCATGTGCTGGATTGGGTGGCTGTCGCGGTACGCACATAGGGGATGTTATATTATATTGTTTAGGGGAGGTTATATTATATTGTTTATATGTGTGCTATTGTTTTGGACGTGTAAAGAAGGTTATATTCTATTGTTTGTAGGTGTCATTTTTTGGATTTTGTTAGTCTTCTTTGTAGAGTTTCTTCGTCTTAATTTTGGAGTTTGTTTTGATTCAAAACTATTTTTGAGTTTTTTAATATAATTGCCATTTAAAAAAAAAATTGAATTGTTGGCATTTATCAATTTATTAAATATTTTTCCTTTTTGAGCAAATGCTCTTTACGATGATACATTACACAGTGCAAATTACTGACTATAACATTCAACTTCCTATAAACATTGTCAATCTATATTGTTAATCATCTTACAAACTGTGTAGTATAACAATCAACTTCCTATAAACATACTGTGTAGTATAACAATCAACTTCCTATAAATATTGACAATTTATATTGCTAATCAGCGGGTAATAAGAAATCAGAAGTTGATGTATTCAAAATTTCAAATATACATCAAATTTCACTAAATTGGCTTTACATAACACAACAATGACTGATAAATCCAATATACACTGATCTAGTATACTAGATCACTAAATTGGCTTTACATAACACAACAATTGGCTTTTCACCCATGTTATTTCTTTAGGTAGTTTTTAAATAAGTTAGTTGAAATTTTTATTTCAACTAGTTTATCAACTAATTTTACTAACACTTATATCAAATAAGCTAGCTTTTCAACTATAAAAAATAAGCTAGAAAATTACTTGATAAGTTATAAGCTATAAGCTAGCTTATTTACCAAACATAGCCTAAGAATGAACATAACATGACATTGATTGATATATTCTTAAAACTCATGCACACTAATCTATTTCATCATCATCAAGTTCATGAGCTCTCAAAAGAGAGGGAACAACTCCACATTCTCATTAACATCAGAAATACCGAGACTCACCATCTTCGAGCCAATGGACACGTGCAGTAGATCACCCTTCCTGTCCATAAGAATCATATCACCCATGCTCAACACGCCCACAATCTCTTCAATTTCGTCCCGAATTTCAACAGAATGGCTGCGCTCGTTAGACCATTGACTGTCTTTCCAAACCCAAATCTCCACACCAACAAAATTCATCTCACTCTCAACAAAACCAATACGCTCATAATTGAAAGCAATAACAACAGCCGGCGAATCCCTATACACTCTAAGAGCAAAAACGCACGAGTCACCCATGTTATTGCTATCGGGCAAAGGAATGAGCTCGGGGGAGAATTTCTCGCTAGCAAAGTCGAACGAAAGAAGAGAAATCCCACCCGAAATCAAATCCTCAGCTACCCAATAACAAAACCCATTTACCGACACACAAGGTTTCTGATTAATCGGCATTCGAGAACAATGTGGATACGGAATTTCCTTCCACAAACCAATATCAACCGATAAGATCTCGGCCTTGAGTATCTTTTCGGACTCGAACACTCTGATAACCTTATAGCACCCGGACGAAGGATCAATGCCCATTCCGTAAAACCTAATAGAGGAATGCAGGGGAAATAAGGGAAGGGTCTTGATTTTGTGGGCGATTGGATTCCACATGAAAATCGAATCGGTTTGTGGAGATTTTCCGCAGGACATCAGCACCCATGACTTGCAAGCGGTTAGAACGTGGTAATCGGGCTTCTCGTAGAGCTCGGGAGGGGAATTTTGCGCTCGGAGTAGAGACGACAGGCTTGAGAGATCGTCCCTGAGCAAGGGTTTGAACGCGCGGTAATTGGTGTAGAGTAGGGAGTAATAGCGAGATCCGTTGCGCAGGTGCTGGACCATGAGCATGTTCTCGTTGCTTTCGTCGAGCCATAAGGTGAGGTCGAGCTTCGACGCGCGCGGTGGAAGAATGTCGGCGGGCGATGGAGAATTAGTCGACGGCGGATTAGTATCGACGGCACGTCCGTTCTGGGCCATTGTCCTGTCCACAGCAGCGCGGCTAGGCGGGTTGTCCAGCGGCTATTCAGTCCGACGGCTAACACTCGGATTTTGCGGCTGAAAGTTCTAATCCTAATCTCATTTGGTTTTGCCTATGATTTGGTTTGCTAATTTTTGTGTGTGTATAAATTGGGTGATAGTTCAAGGGGCTGGGATTGTAGTTGTACAGGAAAAAGAACAAACAATGCTTTATCAGTTGAATTTCGTGAGAATTGGTGGCCGGCGCCGCTGCGTGCGTGTGGATGATGAGGAGAGTTTTGGTCAAAGTGTAGATGAATGTAGCAGAGGAATGATATTTACACTATGTGTAGGAGTAGGTTAATTAGGTTAATTTTAGGGTTAGTAAAATTTATTTTTGAGGTTAAAAGTTTTTTGTGTTTTTAAAACGTTTCTATATTTTTTTAGTTAATTTAAAATAAATATAAATTCTAAAGAACACATTAATTATAATTTCTCAAGTATATAACATTATAACTTCATAATTTACTATTCTTTCTAGAAATATATATTAGATAAAACTATCTGACTAAGAATATTAATCCTGATTTTTAATTAATTTTCATGAGTGATATTATTCTTAAAATATTTTTACAAGATTTATAGTTTTTTGCACGGCTCAAAATTGATTGCATAAACATTTAAAATTTAGACATATTTAAAATAACAAATAATAGTATTAGTAATTATAGTAATAACAATAAAATTCATAAATTATAATTTAAATATTTAGGGTGTTACATAGAAAAATATTCGAATTCCAACTTAAGCACTCTTGAATACAAAAATAACAATTGTGAATTACGTGAAAGTTGTCGTTGATAAAACAAGGTAGAAATTGTCAGTTGTATCCGTGAAGATGTATTTTTAATTTGTTTTATTGTTATGCTTTAATTTAATTTTACTGTGGGTAAAGTTCTTTGCCGTCACAAAGAGATCCCACAGTTCAGCTCCGATAATGGAACAAATACCAGCATTGATCATAAATCCTCCAAGGCAACAACCATGGGAGTCGTGAACCAAACTTCCTGCACTCCCGCAGCCCATGGTGGGTGAAAACGCCCCATCTGTTAACCTTAACCCAGTTCGGCGGCCATCATATGTCTTTCAAATATATCATTAAGAAGATAATAAGTTCTCTGCTGATTAAATACACAATGCAGGGCTCCTTAATCCGAGGAGAAATATAATTAATAAGAAAGTGAAAATAATGTTTTTTTACCAAGATATANCACTCACACAAGTACAACACATGCACTAAATTATGCGATAGTTAGACGTCGATTATGATCAAGTGCGAATCATTATGAGATAAATTATACAAAAGTTAGGCGACGAATATAAGCGAAAACATTATGCGACAGAGACGAGTATGCACAAATTCGACGAACAATTCGGTCAATCACGGGTTCGTCGTCCCGTAGTCACAGACAAGTATATATTAAAAAATTATTCTTGTTATGCGAATGAACCTTCGACTCTTAGGCGAAAATAAAAGCGATCATTAACTCTTATCATATTATCATTGACAGCCACAATTTGTCACAACACAGGAAACATTGAGGAAATTAAAAAATTCACTAAACTTGCAACCAAAGAAGACACATTATGTGAAATAGTAACATGATTGCACTAAAAGAAACCGCAATCAATAAATAAGCAGTCAAGTTTGAACAAAAATAGGCTAAAGGACCATTACGCATAGCTAATAAGACCTCCACAAATGACACTCGAACAAAGAAAGATGCCACTAGACCATAGGCTTGACGAGCTGTGTTTTTTTTTTTTCTTTGAAGAGGAGTGTTACCATAAGGGTAAACCCGCACGTTAAACGAGTCATCATGGATGCCAAGATTTGTCAAGCTGCGGGTCTCACAATCGTAAAGCAGCAGGTCGCCATTGGAGCCCTGAATGAGCACTTTATCATTCTTGTAGAGACCAATTATCCCATGTACAGCATCGCAATAACCAAAAAGCTCAAACTCGTCCGCACAGGACCAATTGTCATACCCCCACACCCAAATCTCAAAACGAGGCTTCTTCCTCCCCTCATTAAAAGCATAAACAATAGCCGCGAGCGAACCGTGAAACTCAGCAAGAACAAAACTCACATTGTACCCAAGCTTTTCGCTTACGGGCATACGGATAAGATAGGGCAGAAACTTCTCTTTAGCAAAGTCAAACAGAATAATAGCATAAATTTTCTTTTCAAAACGATGAGAAACTGGCCAATAATAGAAGCCATTTATGTGAAGAGCAAGTTTTTCGATGGGTTGGAACTTAGGATCATAAGGATACGGAATCTCCTTCCAGGAACACCTCGGAGCGGGTTCGAAAGTCCAATTCTCGACCTTGATAAACGAAACTATAAGATCTGACCACCTTATAGTCCCCGGATTCACGAGGATCAAACCCCACGCCGAAACCCTTAGATGATGAACCGAATACTGGGAAAGGACTAAATAGTGAATGAGGAAGAGGCTTTCTCTCGTCGGTCGTCGGGTCCCACAGAAGCTCGTAAGACGGAAGCTCGCACGAATCTCTAAGCACTTTTTGACATGTCAACAACATCCATTTGTGGTTGGAACACGCTCGAACGAAATGATCTGTATTGAAATTTTGAGATCTGAGTTTGGGAAGAGTATCTGGTACCACTCGGAAGGAGTTGTTTTCCGTTGAAATTACGCCGTGGTTGTAGGTTTTATTGTTGCATACTCGCACCATAAGCATGAGATTTTTGTTGGTGTTGTCATGCTGCTTCAAATTGGGGGAAAGCGCCGGCGCCGCAGTAGTGCTAAGGAAACGATGGAAAATAGTGGAGATGAGATTTTCGGGGAGGAATTTGAATTTGGATTTGGCGTTAGCGAGTAGATTGCCGGTGGCTGAGAGGATTCTCATGCGTATGTCTGCGGAAGAAGAACGACTAATAACAAGTTTTGTATTTTAATTTTAACACTCAAAAAGTGCAAGTTCAACAGCCCAACCATGAGAATGAAATTTGTTATTAGTCTTCTTCTTCCGCCAATGAGCTTCCTAAGCCTAATGGTATGATGATTAATATAATGAAATGAAATTTCATAGGAATAAAATGAGTTAAAGAATGGAATGATCATATAAAATGAATGAAACAAGTTTTGTTGTTAATGCGTTTGGTGTGCAGAAGGAATACGACCATAATGAAATGACATTATCATTCTATATTATCATTTATTACCATTTTATAAAAAAATATTTATATTAATGTTATTTTTTATTTATGATAATACTAATATTATTTTATATTTTAAAAATATAATATATTTTAATAAACATACTTGTGTGTTGTTACACCCATCTCATATAATAAATAAGTGAATTATGTATTTATATACATAACTAATACAAATATATCATTACATAAACACCTATAACCATATGTGATCAAATATACTTTTTTATAATATAATTCAAGTTATAAATAAATATATAATATATATGATTATATAAATGCATTTTATTTTTATATAATATTTAGTATATCTAATTAAAATATGACTGATAATTTTTTATTTGAAATTTATTTTTTAAAGTGATTTTATTTAATATTATTTAATCATGATAATATAGTATATGTTATATATTTATTTGTTATTATTATTGGTTGATTTTATTTTTTGAAAAGTCGATTCCCAAACATATAGGAATGAGAAAACCATCCATTAGCTATGAAATGGCTAATCCCATATAGATGGGTTTTGCAATTCCCACCGGAATGGTCATTACGTTCTAAAAAATATACCTATCATGGGAATAGGAATGAATAAAAGAATGATAATTCTATTTTCATGTCATTCCCTCATAACAATCATGTCATAAGGGGTTGGCCATTAGGTCAGCGGCGTCTGCATCGACTGGGAAAAAAGCTCAGAGCCGGCCCTACCTCATATGGACGCGTGTTGGTCCACGTCACGTTGAAGGTTATCTCTAAGTTTCTCCGAGGATGTTCACTCGCCATAGTTGAGATTGTTTAACGCTTTCCGAACGAAGTTCCCACAGACGGCGTCAAAATGGTGTGCAAAAGATTTCGACATAGCATGAACGACCTGGATCTGCTTCTTGACTGGTTCGAACACCTAAACCTAGAAAACAAGCACCGATGGGGTTCTCGGCGTAGAAACTTCGACGCTCAAGTTAGGTCGGGTTTCTACCAGACCATTTGAAGGCCTTAGCTGGACCTGTCGGTGATCTTTTTTACCTGCGGCATCCTCGTTGACCTGAGGACTCTTACCTATAGCCCATTCAATCACCTATCGACCTATCAGTTCATTTGGTTCGGTTAGCTATTTTCTCAGGTAAAGTTAACCCGGTATGATATCTCATATCAGTGTCTTTTTATAATCGTTGCAATTATAGTTTACTATTATAAATAGATCAAATATAAAAGATATCTTAAGCAATCAACATTCATTTATTTAGCAGAATGTCTTGTCATTTTTTTCTGTTTCATGTTATTCATTGTTCTATTATAAAGTAGTTTTTATCATTATATTTCAATTTATAATTTTTGTTGCTTTTTAAAAATTGACCTTTTGATAAAAATATTGTTGAAATAATTTTTAGTTGTTAAACTTTACTTAAATGAAAAGCACCTTTTAATGTTATGGAGTTCTTGTCTTCTTTATGGAGTTTTGTTTTGTTTTGTGTGTGCGGCTGTTTCTTTGATGGAGCTTGTATCCCTTGGAGTCATGTGTGCCAAAGGGGTAGGTCTAGACTTTTTGGTTCTTAGTGTGTCAGTTGACACCTTGTTTAGAATTCAACGCGGTGNAATACTATAAAATATGTATAGAAATGCAAATTTTTTTTACAATATATTAACAATTAATATTTAATTTTTATGTTGCTTTAATTTAAATTAATATTAATATTTATTTATATAAAAATGTACTAATAATTGTTATATTTTTCATTCCTAGATAAGTTTTTGAAAATATCTTTAATGACTTACTCTTTAATAATTTTATATAGCTAAGTTGATTATTATATATATATTTTTGTATAAAAAGCAATATAAGCTATAGCGAGCTACATAGTGAGCTTCAAAACAGTGTATCACACTTGTCATCCTACAAAAAAGCTTACTGGTTAGCCATTTTTTTTTTTCCCCCTCTAATTATGGTTAGCCAAATTGGTTGGTCAATCATATCTATCATTATATAAAAAGAATAACCTTTTTACAAATTTAGAAACTTTTTCCCGCCAAAATCATTAAATATATCCTACATATAGTAATTGTTGGACAAACCTGAATAGGCAAAAAATCGGTTCATTAATTGTGTAAAGATTTGTTTCGTTTTTTCCTGTATTTTAGTTTATCAAAACCGTTGTTTGACAATAAATATTTGTTTTTTTTTTCCTATTTTTAGTATAAATCTACACGAGCTTATCTGTGTTACAAAATCTCATTGCATAAGTCTCACGTCTCATCCCTTATCTATAGAGATTTGAAAAAATAAAATAAAATAAAAACCAATTCATAATTACTACTAGAAATTCATTATCTACCTTAAGAAGCTAATTTTCATCGGTCTAATTACTAATATTTTTACAAATATTATAAGCTAACCATACAAAAAAGTATAATAATAATTTTAAAATGGTGTGTGATCAAATTTTTTTATATTCTCTTATACAAAATAATTTTATTGTTTGACCCCGAATCTTTAATTTATAATTATTGAGTATTTTTTATCCCCCTCTTTAATTTATAATTATTTTTTTTCTTCCTCTTTTTAAATAGGATCAATAGTAGTTTCCACTTCCGCCATTGAGTAACTCAAACTCGAGGTCTATTAATAATATTATTATTTAATATTGTTCTCGTGCATCGCACGAGGTACACACTAGTTTTCTAAGTAAAAGTGTGTACTTATTGTGAAATTTCAATATAGAGAGGCTATGGATAAATAGTTAAATACACGATCCTTGTTGTGCTAGTTTGTTTATAAATAATTCATGAGCATAAATTTTTTTCTGCAGAACGTACTGAATTCTTCCAAGAAGTTGTAGTTCTTACACAAGGAAAATTTCTGGAGAACCTAGCAAAAACACTAATACCACGAATAAATAATAAAGCACCAAAAACAGATCCCCCAAACCGAAAATCAAACACCATTGCTAATAAGAAGCTCAACAAGCTCAATCTTTTTCAGTTTCGAGTAACCCTTGATTCCTTTAGACTTTGCAACTTCTTTCAATTCAGCGAGTTTCATTTTTTCAAATCTCTCTACTTCGTTGCTATCTTCATTGTCTGTTGTTGGAGACCTTCGAGTGAATTGTGAAGGCGGCGTTATCGATTTAAGTTCAGTAGTTTGCTTCTCTTTCTGTGGAGAATCCTTCTGCCGGCTTACTAATTTATCCCCTTTGTTCACCGTAGTTTTACCTGCCAGAGAAAACAAAGGAACTAAGTTCAAACCAATAAAGATGAAGGATTAACAATCACAATTATCTTCTTCAATTCACATGTTTAAAGGGTAACCTTGTAGTTGATACCGACGGGAAAAATGTGAAGATAGCTCTACCTAAGATGTTTGATGTAAGATAGGATGGAGACTAATCCAACCCAACAATAAGAGGTCTTGCAATTCCTTGATTTTCATTTCATATGGTAGGATTATTTTTCTAACTTGAGCTCATAGAATCGATCATAACTCTTATCATATAGCCACAACTTGTCACACAGGAAACATTAACGAAATTCAGAAATTCACTAAACTTGCAATCAAAGAAGAAACAGTATGTAAAAAGTAACAACATTTCACTGAAGGACCATTACGCATAGCAATATGACACTCGAACAAAGAAAGATGCCACAAGACCATAGGTTTGACGAGCTGTGGTGGAAAAGGGAGTGTTACCATAGGGGTAAACCCTCACGTAAAACGAGTCATCATGGATGCCGAGATTTTTCAAGCTCCGAGTTTCACAATCATAAAGCAGCAGGTCACCATTGGAGTCCTGAATGAGCACTTTATCATTCTTGTAGAGACCAATTATCCTATGTAGAGCAACACAATAAGCAGGAACCTCAAACTCGTCCGCACAGGACCAATCGTCATTACCCCACACCCAAATCTCAAAACGAGGCTTATTCTTCTCATTAAAATTGTAAACAATAGCCGTGAGCAAACCGTGAAACTCAGCAAGAACAAATCTCGCTTTGTACCCAAGCTTTTCGCTCTCGGGCATATGGATAAGATCACGCTGAAACTTCTCATTAGCAAAGTCAAACCGAATAATAGCGTAAATTTTCTCGTTAAAAAAATTATTAGCCAGCCAGTAATAGAAGCCATTTATGTGAAGAGAAAGTCTTTCAACGGGTTGGAACTTAGGATTACAAGGATACGGAATCTCCTTCCACGAACCTGTTCGGAGGGAGAGCAACTCGGAGCGGATTCGAAATTCGAATCTTGAATGAACGAAATTATGAAATCTGACCACCTTATAGTCCCCGGATGCACGAGGATCAATCCCCACGCCTAAACCCCAACATGAAGCGGATTCTAGGGAAGGTCCAAATGGAGAAAGAGGAAGGCGTTTCTTCTTGTCGGTCGTCGGGTCCCACAGAAGCTCGTACGGAGCTCTAGACCCTTTGTGACATGTCAACAACATCCATTTGTGGTTGGAACACGCTCGAACGTCATGATCGGCGCTGCCACCAACAGTATTGAAATTTTCAGATCTGAGTAACGATAATTTGGGAAGAGTATCTGGTACCACTCGGAACGAGTTGTTTTCCATTGAGATTACGCAGTGGTCGTAGGTTTTTTCGTTGAGTACTCGCAGCATAAGCATGAGATTTTGGTTGGTGTTCTCATGCTGCTTCAAATTGGGGGAAAGCGCCGGCGCCGCAGTAGTGCAAGGAGAACGATGGAAAAGAGTGGAGCTGAGATTTGCGGGGAGAAATTTGAATTTGGATTTGGCGTTAGCGAGTAGAGAGGCGGTGGCTGAGAGGATTCTCATGGTTATGTCTGCGGGAGAAGAACGACTAATAACAAATTTTGACGGGACTGTAGACAAATTCCAAATTTTGTATTTCAATTTTCAACACTCAGTCCAAGTTCAACAGCCCAACCCACCCCAGTGTTGTATAACATTTAATTGATTGCCGTAGGCCCAAACATTTTCTCAAAATATAACGATGTATCCGTGGCGCATAAAAACAAAAACAAAAAAAGGTGTGTAAAGGGGCTCCGCATGACGCTAGGTGCTACATGGCTCGCCGATGAGCTTCCTAGGCCTAAGAGGTTAGCCATCGACCGGCGTCTGCAGGGAAAAAAGCTCAGAGGTGTGCCTGCTCCGTACGGACGTTTGTTGGTCCACGCCATGGTTGAGATTGTTTAATGATTTTTCGAACGAAGTTTCTACAGAGGCACAGACGAAGTCAAAATGGGGTGCAAAAGGCTTCGACCTAGCTTGAACGACCTGGATATGCTTCATGACCGGTCCGAATACTTAAACCTAAAAAACAAGCATCGAGAGGGTTCTCGGCATAGAAGCTTCGACGCTCAAGTCAATAAACAATGGTGAGGAATATGTTTAACAATATCGACATGTACGCCTTCAGGTCGTGTTTCTACCAGGCCTTCTGAGGGCTCTATCTGGACCTGTCGTGATCCTTTTTATCTGCGACATGCTCGTCGACTTGAGGACTCGTCGACCTATAGTTCATTCAATCACCGATAGACCTATCGGTTCATCCGGTTCGGTTTAGCTGGTTTCTCGGGTAAAGTCAACCCGATATGGTATCCCATATAAAAATTTTTCCTAATCGTTGCAATTATAGTTTACTATTATAAATAAATCAAATATAAAAATATCTAAAGCAATCAACATCCATTTATTTAGCAACATGTTTGGACATTTAATGTTTTTACATGTTATTTCCGTTTATAATTTTTGGTTGCTTTTTAAAAATTTTACCTTTTTCATAAAAATATTATTGAAATATTTTTTAGTTGTTAAACTTAATAGTATTATAATTTTACCATTAAAAATAATACAAATATAAAGACTTTTTAGTCTGTACAATTTTTTACAAAACCATTCTGCTTTTATTATAGAGATTGAGAATAATTGAAATTTGAGTCAATAAAATTTGTTGATACACGCTATTATTGTCCATTAGTGTGGTACCCGTGCGATGTGCGAGCTAGTTTTATTAGGTAAACATTTAGATTTGGATGATTGGATGATTGGAAGAATGTAAAACGCATGTAGTAGAATAAAACAAAATGTAACTTATATATTATTAAACAGGAAACAAATAATTAATACATAAAACAATTTACCTTGTGTAAACCGTATCTAAGAAAATAAACACTTGACACCTATATATATATATTAGGATTCTAGATATGCTTAAATAAATCAATTAAATTATTTAGCAGGATATATATGATATGATTTATACTGGTTTTATGAAGATTGCATAGCCAAATATAACGAAGATTGTAATACGTCTTTCTTGATAATCTATAGCCTTATTATTTTAAAATTATAAATTAATTAATTTAAGGAAGGAAAAAATTATGTACGTGTATGCAATCAATTTTTAGGATGTTCCAATCCAATTTCATTTTGAATTTCAAATTAATTTATCTGACTCTGTTTTATGTTTAAAAAAAAATCTGAACTAAAGAAAGTAGTAGCCAAATGATATGGGATTTTTAAATTTTAACTTTCAATTTGAAATTCGGCTTGTTTCTATGCAATCCGATTTTTTTAATAAACATGATCTGTTGCAATTAGGTAAAGATACATGTTATAGTCAGCGGCGAATCCAGAAATGTCCATTAGCCTGGGCAAAAAATAGTTGATTTTTTTTAACCCTATTACACAAAATACTTATATTAACATTTAAATAAATCATTTAAACAATCGGATCTTGAAGTGTTCCCTATTCAAATTGACTTTGCACTAAAAAATGTAATGGAGAATAAAGTCTGGTTATTTGATTTCGCATTTTTATTATTGTTAAAAAATATACCAAAAATATTTTATAATCACTTTTCCTTCATTTTTTGTAATAAGTTATAAGCAAGTCATTTTGAAATATAATTTATTAATTTAAGATAAGCCTAAATGTCATCATTTGTATTTCTGTTATTTTATAAAGAGTTCCTATGGATTATCTTATTACAAGAGTTTTTCATTGTCAACTACCAACACTTTGTAATTCTATTTGTTAGTGTCTAAGGATTCAAAATAGTCCATATAAATATGGACCTTTATCTAGAACTTTCAAATTTGAACACTTGGCTAACTGAAATTGCAAATATATTTTAAGAGTTAATAACATTTATATTTGTTATTATTTTTTATATATGATAAATGAAATTAGTCATATTTTGACGATCTATAATTTGATATTTATATCGTATATATAAATTAAAATAATTATATCTATTTGATCTCTCTTAATAAAAATTTAAATATCCATCAATTATAATTGAAAAATAATAAATTCATCTGTCAAGCCTAATGTAATATAAGATTGTCGAATCTGACAGGTGAAGTGTATCATTTTAAATAGAAAAATAATGTTATTTTGTAAGAATTATTTATAATTTTAAAATAAATAAATGTATTTATATTTTTACAAATATTAAATATAAAATTTTAATTTTAACTATATAAATTGTGTATTAGCAC